CCTGAGAAGACATCAAGACACTGATATACGGCGTCCCTTCTGCAAAAGGCGATGTATACACAAACAGCCCTTCGTACATGCCCTGGTATGTTACCAAGGGTACAATAGGTCCATGAATGCGGCTAGCTTCTGTGACTCCAAAGAGGTCTTGCTTGTCGCTTCGGAACTGGACGACAACGCGATGATCGGCGTGCGTGGAGTGAGTATGTAATATAGCGGTATAGCTCATGCTTCCCTGGAAAGGGCTGGGCTGAACGTTTACCTTGCCGGTAGCGTTGGGGAAAATGATCGGGGCAATATGGTGCAAGACGAACTGGTGACACGATATCTGGGAGAGGTTTGGCAGTGGCTCAAAGAATTGAGCCACGACGAGTGTCTGGTAATCGTCCATTGTTAAGAGCCTACCCTCTCCTGGTATCCTTTCAGCCAAACGTGAAGGCGAGGTGTCTGGGTATGCTGTATACGCTGCTGTTTTGTTGTCGTTCAAAGGGAGGGACGACTTATTGACTTATTGCCCGCATAGCAAGGAAGAAACGGTTTTGAAGTTGAGACTGGCCAGGATTATTCGCGGATTATTATTCATCCGACGATCACGTGTAATACTAAGGATCGTTTTCATAGAAGTTGGGCAGTGGAGAACTTGAGAAAATTAGGCACATAATGCGGCTGGTATAATCCATGGGGTATTTACTTCAATTGATGGTGAGGAAGGCCGATTTTGATGTGAGTGACTATCCCATCGGCCCCAATTTCTTTTTTCCTATTGGTTTGAGGAAATCAATACCCTGTCAATGCATTACGTCTCATGTTATGTATGGTTCACGAGGGTGGCTGCCTGCTTCTAAAGGATATTGGAAATACGTGAGGAATTTTTTTCCCAACGAAGAAATAGCAATCCGCGATATACGGTGGTAGACTAAGAACTTAACTAGTGCTGACGTATATTTTAATATGCCAGGGTATAGTTAATAAATATGGCATTCTCTACGTGGTATCTACCAAAGATCAACGCTGTTTCTTGAGCGTCGTGCTCCAGTACACCTGTATGGACCCTTTGCTCCTTCTAGGGAATTTCAGTGCAAAAAGTTGCGTCACCTCGGACTACGCGAGATTCTGTTCTTCCCTGAGCTTCACCAATAAATGACATTCTTTCACGGACCACGGTAGGCCTTTCCTCGTACGAGTAGGTTGCACATCAACTAGTTCGGTGTTTGAACTTGGATAGTCGTAGGATGTCCACGTCTTGAATGGATCCTGATATAGAGGCGGCATCTGTGTTGGTACGCGTAGAAACGCAGTGTGATAGAGCATCCTCAAATAGCCAAGATAGGAACTGTAGCCGGTCTTCAACTGAAAGGGCCGAGAATTGGGCACGAACGGCAGGACATGAAGCGCTCTTTCCACGTCTAGGCCCTCTAGTGGACCGATAGGAACAATCTTTTGCATTTCTCTTCCCTGTACATGAACATTTCTTTACTTTGAGGGACTGGCGATCATGATCCACGGTCTCCTTTGCATTTTGTCGTCTGCGTTGGAAACATAGATCTTGATTCGAAAAGCGAGAGCAATTCGAGGGACATTCGATCTGATATGTTGCGATACTAGTAATATTCTCCGTTGATTGGATATGCTCAAAATCAGGGCAGTCATGATCGTTTAGGGTTGCGAGATCGTTGGCTTTAATGCCTGGAAGGTCTATAGTCTGGGTAGTGTTTCTAGGATCGGCAGCTTGAGGGTGGTGCTAACCAGCAATACCGGCAGGGTCCAAGTCGCTCGATCCAAAACCGGGGGATCGATGCTCAGCACCCAGACAAACATTATCGTGTATTGTAGTAGAATCGATATCTTCGGTGCTCCGTAGGTCCTATAATTGTAAAAGGTCTTAGCGTGAGGGCTGGTGAAGCGGCCCACTTGGGCTCGTGTCGAGTGGTTTGAGCGTCCGAGTGTAGGCCGTTATCTAAGTAAACCCCCGACGGCGGGCGGGTAGGAAGGGGATGACGGCTAGGTTTGTAAGAATGACTTTTTTGACTCTTGGAGACGGGGTCGATAGGATTAGAGGGAGGCAGGGTGGTAGTCATCGAGATAGGACTTAGGTAGCGGCAAATATCGAAAGAATCTCGCAGAGGCTGGGCTTTGTCCTAGAAATGATTCCATAAATGAAAGGATTATAGGCGAAAACTAGCGTTTGAAATATTGTGTGGAAGAGACGGCTGAGAAATTCTTCAAGATGTGGTGGTTGTAGGTAGTTATAAAATAGGGGAAATGGCAGGGATAGGGGAATTTGAAGTGGTTTTAAATTATAGCTTTGCTATTTAAGTGGGATTGTAGCCTCTTTATAGACGAAGGTCGGCTGTAAGGCGGAATCCCCCTTCTACCTAACGCAAAAATCCTAACCAGCTCCTACAATCCAGGCCACTGTATCTAAGAGGCGGGACAATACCAATTTCACAACCACGGGCTATAGTTTACCGGCAATAATTCCTACTACCCTCGCTAATAATCTTTGCGACGTATGTCTATACTAGTCGTTAGTCCGTTCTCTATTCGGTAGGTAACGGTACGATCGTGGTATTGTTCTCGCGGTTATAATCTAGTATTGGCCGTATAATATAGTATCGACCGAGGTTAGGCGAGTACGCGGTATTTTTGCTATTAGTTCGTATTACCGTAGTATACTTTCGAGGTTCACCGATTAGGTACGGAGAGACCGGAGAGGCCGACGATAACGATAGATGGAATATCTAGGCACTTACGAACAAGCGGCCGAGAGTAGATCTACGACGCTAGGGGCTATATAATGTAACCTTAGGTAGGGGCCTAAGATAGGGCGGATAAAGCGGAGTATGTAGTATCGAGGAGACTTCGCAATAAGGGGGGTCAGCGAAATAATAGAGACTTAACGGGAAGGCCTTACTAGTAGAAAATAAGCGATCTAGATAGAATTGTAGACTTTATTAGAAAATGGGGTATTGATATACAATCATGCGATGCGGTAGATGGCTGGATCACCCTAGTGTTTCTACTCTTAAGCGACTGGATAGCATTGCAGCCCACGCTGGTCAGAATGACCAGGGAGTCGGATCGAGCGGCATCTCCGGTAAAAATGAAAGGGGCAGTGCGTCGGGCTGAAAGCAAATGTGCAGTAGTCGGTGGGGGCTAGAGTAAAAGAAAGGGGGCGGCGATGAGTGCAAGATAGAGAGGCAGAATAATGGAAAAGTGAGAGAAAGGGAAGAGGAGCAGCGAAGACGGGTCTTTTATGTCGGCGGCATTGAAGGTAGGTTACGTGACAGCGTATTGGGGCGCTAAACCCAAAAAGGCAAAACTAACCGGATACAGTAATTCACAGGTCCGCCGTTTACAACCACAATTATACCAACATACAACATACATACACATGTCACAAGAGCACACGACTGGACTACTTCAATAGACTTAATAACGTCAAACGTCACCAAACATAAAAAGGCTCAATATATCTGTCCCGAATAGGTTAGCTATCCTTCGATGTACGCTCTTATCGACATCAGAGGTCTTGAGTTGTCAGAGGAAGAAGAAAAGACACGAGAAGGAGAAGGTACCGATCTTGACAACACAGACAGGCCTGTTAGGGAACGCCTTGCCACGTCTTTTGCGTGTGGTCAGGAAAGAGGTTGACTCTGAAAGGAGAGCCCTGTTTTCGGAGATCTTGGAAGATGTCTGTATGGATCATATAACGACATGGACAAAGGCACAGATGCATTCACGTTAATACAAAAATGCTCGAAATGTCAGTATTGCCCCCTGGATGAATGATAGGGTACGTCAGGTCAAGGAGAGCTTGACGCGTCTTTGTGGCCTGGCAAGGAAACGTTGATTATGATGAGATGGACCGGCTCATGGTGATCTTCTTGGGTGTTCTTCGATGCTAGACTTTAAGCTGGTGTGTCGATTGTGTCAATTGTGTCGATTTTTATTGGTTTGTTTGTTTCATATCTTGTCATTGGGGGTTTTATAGAGAGAAGATTGTCATTAACAAAGAAATGAAGGGATTAGATCATGTAATTGCAACACATGACTGGGAAGATTGCAGACTGCCAGGCTTGAAGCCCATAGGTATTTATGCTCGTACTACTAGCAATAGGGCGAAGTGGTGGGGAACACTATATCTGCCGTGAAGCCATCTATATAGCTCCTTGGTGACCAAAAGAAAGTCTCGCCAGATGCGAATAACCAATGAGACATACCACCAGACCAATCTACAGATATATGACCCCATGCAGCAGGACGGAGTGGTCAGTGAATCTTCATCCCGAGGGTAGAATAGTTCCATTGAATCAGGCAGTCTAAGCACAGTGTCGGGGACGTATCCCCTCAGATCAAAGCTATAGCAAATGCACGAACAATTAAGACGGGGAGCGGCGACAGAAGAGGCTGAGTAGTACATGACAAATGGATAGAAAACAAGCAAAGCTAATAAGCATATTGGAACAAATAAGAGCAAGAGAAAGATAAAAGAAGCCAAAGCAGCGACGAGCCCAGAGGCCGGCAATGTCAGATGCACACAAAGACGGCAATGTAAGTATACTTTCAGATCATATCGGCATGGGCTGGCATCGTCACCTATGTGGCGGGTATGTATGCAGGATAGATAATGTATGTGTTGTGATGCTCATGAAGGCGTCTCAAGTGTCCGGGGGATGAACCATAGATTTCAATTCTGGGCTTGGGCTCTTATTTTCTGTTATCCTTCTAGTGTATTCTGACAGGCCAATGCCAATGCATGCACCGTCAGAACGGTTCCTTGGCGGTGGAGGAGAGGCCGCCCGGCTTCATGTGTTGCTAATTCTGGATTCTCCACAGCTGCACCCATAAGAATAGAAGGGAAGATGGAGAAAGAAATCTAGCGACAAGTGGGTATCATAATGGGGCTGTTTTTGGGTGGCGTGATATTAATGGAGATTGAAAGGTGCCGACGACAGGTGAGAAAGAAAAGGCGGTCAAATAAAATTGTCATTCCAGATTTAATCAGGGTTGGTAAGCTAGAAATCACGCAGTTAGCAAGAGTGGTAGGCCATAATGCAAAAGTTCAAGATTAAACTTACGCGAAGAACAGGACGCGAGTAGTCTTCGTTGTCCTGCAGCGAAACACTACTCTCCCGAGCACCGTTGGGGTAGAGGACAGTGTTGGTCTTCATTCGTCGATCGGTGAATGTTGTGCCGGAACGTGCGGGGATAGATCCTCCAGCAGCGCCTTCTCCATTGTTCCGCGGGAACAGACCTCCCATGAAGCTCGATCCCCTACTGGTTCTGTCATCGGCCATTTCCTGGCTTGGGATAGGGCTGACGGCACGAGCCCGTTTGCGGTAGAAAACGATCAAGAAGATGAGGGCGCCAATCAGGGCGAGTCCTCCAAGAACACCAATCACAATGCCTGCGATGGAACCTCCGCTCAATTTCGAGCTGGTAGAGGTAGTGTTCGCCGATCCGGAATCGGCGCCGGCAGTTGCACTTGACCCCTCAACAGTGATTGTCTTGACTTGGCCACCAGCGTTAGTTTGGAGAGAGACAGTAGACGAGGTACTGGTTGTTTCATCCGACGAAGTTGACTAGGATCAAAAGTTAGCCAAAAGTGCCATTTAATCAAACCAGTGATACTGAAGATACAGTTTGTGAGGATGAAATGGAAGGACCCGAGGCAGTCACAGTGACTGTTTCAGGTTGAACGCTCGTACTCTCCTATCCCGGATATTAGAGCCACAAGCAAAGAAAGAGTAGAGCACCCAATCATGCTACATAGGCTGACAGGAAGGGTTATCGGTCCAAAAATAGAAAACAAAAAGAATCCGAAAACAAAAGATATCCAAAAGTAAAAAAGAAGGGGTGGCTTACCGAAGTTGAGGTTGAGCTTGATGTTGAGCTTGACGATGACGAAGTAGTTGAGGTTGTTGAACCACCGGCTGTGCTAGTCACATCGTTGCCTGTAATTTCCAGATAGGCGAACACTCCTTTGGATGCACTTCCACAACTGTCTGCGGGATAACCCGGGCATGTATCATTGCAGTCCGAGGTGTCAGAGGATTGCGACGATTTAGAGGGAGCAACATTCGAGCACCAGCACTTCTTTCCTTGTAGGATACCCAGGGCGTAATCGGCGCAAGTTTTTAGACATGCTCCATTTGATTGATAGGTGTTGGAAACTGTGGGAAGTCAGCGATAGGGCCAAGTCTTTAATTTTCTTTGCGATCGCCTACCTGCGTTAAAGGAAGACCCCGTGTTGATTGAAGCACAGTATGTGAGGCTGGATGCGGCCGACGCGAATGGCCGAGCCAAAAGAGCAAAAACTGACACCACCTCCGCGACCCTCATGGTGGTTGTGCTCGATCGATAATTCTTTTTTATCAAACCCGATCGCCCTTTCTTAGGGTTTGTGGTTGTCTTTTATTTTCCACCCAGATCCCGACAAGCGTGAGGGTACCGATGGTAAGAAGGAAGTTTGCGCAGAGTGAAGATCGAAATTGACTGTGGGCCGACCGATGTGAATTGTCGATCACCTATGGACCAGAGTCCGATAGTGTCTGGAAGGAAGAATCTAATATATCAATGGCAGTCGATCGGAAACGTCTCAATCGTTGTTGATCCCCCCACTAAACACTGAAAAAGTTGTAGGTGCTCCCGTATCAAAGACACATTGTCTCAATGACTCGGAAGGCTCGAGGGCTAGGCAACAAAATAACAAGAAAAGAAAGAAACAAAAATGAAATGAAGGGGGAGAAGAAGGCGAAGTCGAATGTACGAAGGAAAAAGAGAGAGAGAGAGAGAGAGAAAGAGAGAGAGAGAGAGAGGAGAAGGGGGATCTCCACAGTCACGGGCCTTGCTATCCTGTTCTTGTTATCCTACACCAACTATCCTCGTCGGAGTATGTCGAGGTCTCCCGACATACCCGGTGGATACTGATTTTCCTATTTTACTGTGGGATTTAGAATAATTTAATTGGGATCTCCAAGTATATTGTAGTTTATTTAGTACTCCGTAGAGATCTATTGTTTTTGGGCCCTTTTGAAGGATATAACTATTCAAATGTTGTTATCTCTGTAAGGTACATCCATGTACCTATATACAAAGTAGCCTATAACAAGCCATCTTTTAATCTTTATATCCAGTGTATACAACATACCCAGTGTATAGGGTATAACAGATATAACACCGTCTTACAACATACAGTCTCACAGTCTCACAGTCTCATACAGTAAAGAAGTATTTTATTGACTTTTTTCCTAATGCGCTTTTTCTCCACTGCAATGACCTTGACTGGTAGAACCAAAGATCGTTGGACCACACATTCCACCCTTCATACCTCTTTTTCTTTTCTTTTTCGATTGTTGTTGTATGTTGTATGTTATATGGAGGACTCTTAATATCTGCAGGGAATAGCGTACTTCTATTTATGTATCACTTTCTTTATTATATCCGAAACAGTTACCGGAGAGATCACCAATGCATTACCAGGATTACAAAGTACAAAAAGTACAAAAAGTACAGAACGAGTTAGCGTAATTGTGGACATACGTAATTGGGTGGAGAGAAAACTCCTCTAAGAATGTTCCAACTTGGAATTATTTATATCCTCCATTATGTATCTTGTAAGAACCTTCCAGACTATCTCCATTGTGGCAATGGCACGAGCTATCCAAGACTATTCCATATATCATGATGAAATGGACACCTGTCAACTTGTAAATTCCCTGCTACAATGTGTCTAGACCGTGAGGTAACACAGGGAATTGTATCACCCCGGGAATTGATATTGTAAAATATACGGAGTACAATATACGGAGTACTCCGTACTCCGTACACCGAATGCTAGCTCTCGACCCCCCAAATGCCCAGCCGCCAAAAACGACGATCGACACAAGAGATCGCTGTGATTTGCCGGATGGAAGGGAGTCTGTCGTCATGAAACAACTGGGATTAACCGGCTATTAAATACAATTGTCGTTTCTCTCTCGACTGTGTGTGGACTAATGGTTTGCATATCTCAATCTAGTCTGGTACAATATACAACATAACTATACTAACCAACCAACATAGTGTAGTACAACATTGTACAACATACTCCATAACTAACTACTCCATACTCCGTACACAGAATGATGATTTTCCCCTTTTTCCAATGTTTATTTCCTTTCTCGACTCATCTAATATAAACCTTGGAATCATCCCACTCATCTCCCAAGTGGAGATGCTCCACTTGGTGTAAAAATGTAAAAACGATACAAAGTACAATCCTGCACAGATGCCCATCTTGAAATTTCTATTTCAAATTGGCATACAATTTATCTTATAAGAGAAGGATTTAAGACTTCCTATTACACATCTACAATATAACTGCATATGGTTCAATTGCCCACTTATTATGTTCTCCGAGTGCAGAACCTTAATATAATACGCGAATGCAATAGTCCATTAATGATACCAAGAATCATTGAGATCCATTTTGCAATCCAAAATCCAATACCCCGTACGGAGTACAGAATACTAAATATCACCATCTGTTCACCAAACCTTACTCCGTACACATCTGGACAATGCCAAGGCAAGCCCTGGAGTCATAATGTTGTGGCTCATATGGCTGAGACAAATCCACCACAACACACGCAAGTGGAAGGGCAGCGAGACCAGTACGACGTAATCTCCCGCAGGGGGCCTACAGACGCCTCGTAGTTAGTATTACACTCCATCTCGGGCTAGGTCTTTTTGCATATTGATTCAAGATGTGGCGAAGTTAAGGGGATTATTTGTTATTGTGCCTGGTGGCTTGCAGGTGGCGTTCTAGGTCTGAAACAAGCCTACTCCGTACAGTGCTGATCTCTTGGTGTAGCCTACATGAGGCATCCGCGAACCATAGTTATCTCGGAGTTACATATTTCTAAGGTCATTTACGGAGTATGTTTGCGATCATTCGATAGTTATTCAAATCAACATGTTCAATTAGAAAAGGCGTTTCGAAATACATCATACACCTCTCGCATAGAAAATACGAGCAGGAAATCAAGTCGTCTGTGAGCTTTGGTACATGAAATGTGTAGGGCCTGAACCCATGATTTAACTGTCGCCTTCGAAGTCGATAGATAGATGACCAGTTCCGGAGATCACATCAACCACGCTGGTTGAACTTTCCTCACCTGCTGAAGCTGCCGAAGCTGCCGAAGCTGCCGAACCCAAATCTGTTACTGTCTTCTCGGAACTCTGCGAACTCTGCGAACTATGCGAACCCACGCTATCACTGCGTGGACGGTGGGTACCGGACCCTGGCAGAGGGCCAATCATCAATTCATCGACATCCTCCACGAATTCTGAGCCAGGAGGGGAATCGCAATCAGATTGGGAACCGGAACCGACCAAGAATGATTCAACCCAGGCCCGAACGTCCTCGTTTCGCGGGATGGGGGTGGAAGGCTGCTCCGGTTGGGTAGTAATGTCAGATTTGGCGTCAGATTCATCCTCACTATCCTCATCGAAGAAACTGCCTGCAGCGCACAAGCTGACCATTCGAGTGAAATGCCACTGCATGTCCAGCAAGTCGAAACTTGGAAGCGGTCTCTCAACGGGGTCGTCAGTTGTCATTCGGAACTTGTAGCCGGACTCAATGGCATGATAGGATGGTTCACCTCGCGTTCCTACATAGACGACCAGTCCATCCACGCTGTTGACGTTCTTGGTAGAGATGGGTTGCTTGGACAAATCAACCAGGTCGTAAAGGTTGTGGTCTAGCTTCGGCTGCCAGTAAAACTCGATTTCCATTTCAGTGTTATCTTCCGAGACCCAGACGGGACGCAGGGCGAACAAACCACTTGACCATGCAGACCGGATGTCTCTGCGAAGGCAGATGAGATTAGTACAATCATTGACAGGTTTCTCCGGTTGAGTTGGGTCATTGAAAACAGCCCGTCTCCATCTTTCGGTTCTGCTCTTTCCCCAGAACACATCGGCGAATCTCCAAATGTTAGGAGCAAATGGATCATCCTTCAAGCTGGAGGTGAATGCGCTAGCTGGAAAGATCGGACTCGTTTGGAAAATCTTACGGGTGCCTGTAATGACACACTTGTTTCCATCTCGTTGTCTGGCGGCGTAAATTGCAACTGGGGGAGCACGGGGTCGCGGACAGAAAGCAGAAGGCACGTATCCTGATTCCAACTGCTGAGATGGAGATGGCGTCACCGTCCATTTGAATGGAAGGGTACAAATCACTTCAGCAAAGCTATCCATGATTTTCAGTGAGAAGTGGGCGAGTTGGAGGATCATCTCAAGCCTCTCGATGTCACATACATGGAGAACAGCCCATAGTGGGGAGGGGACTTGTTGTTCTATTAGAGCTGTTCTGAGCTGGCGCATGAAGATCTTCCGCTGGGGAGACGGGATATTGAAATTCTCATCATTTACTCGAACCACAGTGGAAGAGCGACGGAGTTCCGACGAACTTCCAGAGGGGAGTGTACTACCGGATGGAGATGCGTTTGACATATTGAGGTAGGGCTGGTCCGGAAAGACGGTGAACGCCGTGATGTGTTCACAAAACACGTGGGCGGCGTGTTAACGAGGGAAGATCGTTTGTTTTGATCTCTAACTATTTATACGTTCAAATGGGGACCGCACGTTGCCTTCATTGCATTCACCGTCGGGGAAGGACCTGACGGGGGAAGATATTGGACGGTACACGTACCGACTGAACGTCTCGTTGCACTTTCCAAGTTCGGCGCAGCAAAAAAACGTTATAAATTCATAGTTCATAAACATTAGATTCATAGGTAACATTACCGCCGAGAATGCATCCATTCTCGATCTCGAATATCTTGCATGCGCTTCTCTATCATCCGTGTTCGCGGAGGCATTCCCACACGGGGTCTCATATGGGGTATGATATCAGGGACAGAAGCCCGCTCCCGCTGGATGTCACGAATGCGTCTGCGACGAGCACTTCGAATGTCATCGGACAACTCGACAAGGTCCTCTATGTCATCCTGGAGCCGAACGGGTCAGGATCCAACAAAGCTGTCTGTTCAGATGGTACATACCGGCTTAAGGTACGAGAAGATGTAGTAGCATGTCCTTGTCTCTTCGTACTCAAATCCCATCTGCTCAATAGCTTCCCTCACTACCAATCTCTTCGCAATTTCCGTCCACCGATCGTTCCGTGCCTCCGGCTCCGTCACCTGCTGAGCGACTCGTCCCACTTCTGCTTTGTCCACTGACGAATGTCGGGGTTTAACCTCAACAACGTCTAGAGCTCCGGTCATCTCGATGGCTTCATCAGGAGATAGAGCATGCACCACAGACCAGTCGTCCGTGCTTCTAGGGCCCTTGTTCACTGCCCGCGTGCTCTCAATCATTATATCCTTTTCCACTTCGCGCATGGAAGGAGCCTCACTTATTCCGAGACTATAATCCGACTCGCTCTCGTCTTCCAGCGACTTAGGCGGCCGACGACGTGTTGCAGATCTTGTTTCTCGCTCCCACGGGTCGCTGAAATCAACAGCTGGGCCGCTAGTTGGAGATATTGAGTCTTCCGGAGTCAGAGACTCTTCACTGTCACGGTGTTTGAGGACTATATTTTCCTCTGACATTCGTCCACCTTGCATTCTTCTAGGCCGGATGTTAGCGTGCAGCAAAAAAGAGAATCCACCTACTCACCGATGTGGAATATCGATCTCATCAAGACTACCTCTTCGGGACCGCGGTTGCGGACTCCGCACACGAGGGGTATGAGCGTCTTTATAGCCTTGGTTCGGTTAGAAGAATGTTCTTTCTGGGCTACTAACAACAGTCTTACCATGGTCAAAGTGCGTATGACGGGTGAACATGCCTTGGTGGATTGGGGGTACATGTATCGAGGGCTGGCGAGATGGGAGTTTGTCATTTGACTTCCGAATCTTGATCTCTTCCTCAACCTCTTCAACGTCTCTGGTGCGTGACTTGGAGTCAAACTGCGAACTCGCGCTAAGCTCTTCATCCCGTGGAATCCGGCCTCTGCCCTCTCGCCGAAGACCTCTTAATTCACGTTCGAGATCCTCCGAAGGTACACTGCGCCGTTTTTCACGACCGCGTATAACTATTTCCTCCTCATCAACACGGTCGACTGGTCGTGGTCCCTTGTCCTTTCGCCGGATGGCCATGTCATCTTCAAACTCTAGATCTGGAAAGTCGACTGGGCCTCGGCATCGCTCGGGAGGCGCATTGTCAAGCAGATCCTCTTCCACCTTGACCCTTTGGGGAGGCGGAGGCCGTGGCCGTGGTCGGTGGTATGGCTCTTCCTCGAACTCCAATCTTCTTTCACGCGATTGAATGTCGAGCTCACTGTCCCATCCGCGACGTAAGGGAGGCCCTTCTCTTTCTTTCCGCCGAATGAGCATTTCCTCTTCCTCTAATTCCCGCTCTGGGTGGTGTCTTCTTCCTCCATTTCCCCCCGCTCTTCAACTAAGGGGTTGTCTTCAAATTCCCTGTCTGGACGTCGCCTGCGGTGGCGTTTTTCTCTCTCATCGTAGAGCAGATCGTCCTCAGACCTTCGTTCCGGGTGACGCCTGCCTCCTCTATGTATTTCTCTGTCTTCAATGACCAAATCGTCCTCTTCAAATTCCCGAGGGTGGCGCCTACTGCCTCGGCGTCTTTCCCGTTCGACAAGGAGCTCCCCATCCTCCTCAAATTCTGGCTCTGAACGACGCATCCTACCACTGCGTCTTTCCCTTGGTCTTTCCTCGGACAGAAAATCCTCTTCGGATGCTAGCTCCGGGCGGCGCCTCCTACCTCCGCGCCTTTCTCTTTCCTCGATGAAGACACCACTGCCTTCGCCTTCTCGCTCTCGTTCGGGACGACGTCTTCTTAGTCCACGCATTTTACTTTCGTCGATAAAAAGATCATCTTCGACTTCTCGCTCTCGTTCAGGGCGATGCCTCCTATCCCCGTGTCTTCCTCTCTCCTCGAAAGTCGAATCCTCGTCAACGTCTCGCGGATGACGCCGACTACCCCGGCGTCTCTCTCGCTCCTCAAAAATCATGTCTTCCTCGTCTACTTCACGAGGACGAGGTCTACGCCGGGACTCAGCCGGCCGCGGGTAGGGATCATCGCGGTCTAGAGGCATATATCGCTCTGGTGAGACCATATCTACCTCCTCTCTTGGCCGCATGTGAACCATATCATCTCTTCCTCGCGGCGGCACAAAGCTCTCTTCCATGAAGTCTCGCGTGGGACGTTCTCGGATGTGCATACGCTCCATGTCCTCCACTAGAGGGTCGGACCTTAGGCGACGATATTCAGCATCTTCCTCGTAGTCGCGATATCGGCGACGCGGTCTGTGGTCTCGCTCGCGCTCTCGTTCCATTTCGTAGAATTCATCTTCGTCGTAGTCGTGGGGTGGTGCTCGGCGGGACATCGTGGGCCTGTGCGAGTGATCACCGCATTGGACCTTGTGGTCGATCGGCCGTATCTGCGGTCGGAAATATATGTGAAAGAGAACACTCTTAGATCCAAGACTTTGACGCAGAAGCCTGCCAAAGGTTCAGTTCAAGGCAACGGTTAAATTCGGTAGTTGGTGGCTGGTGGGGCTTGCGAAAAGGACGGGTGGGCTGTGCTCTACCTAGGTAGTCAATATCACCGAGGGGCAGCTACCAATAGTACGAGAAGCCAGATAAGTATGTACATATGTAGATAGATCGAGAATGTAGATTCAAGACTGGGCTGAGTACACATTCAATACAGAGAAATGGAAACGTGGATCGTGTGACTTGAAGGGCTGACGAAAAGCAGAGTGATCGACCCCGCGGCTGATGTCACTACACTTCAAGGGCAGATTTAGATGAAACAACCATATTTTCGTTTCAGCCAAGATGCTCGCTCTTGTTTACTCCCCAGTTCTCCTAAACTTGGAAGTTCTCCAGAGCTACCCCAGAATCTTAGCTAATCCTGTTGGAACCTTGGTTCTCTTCTCAAAAACCGCCGTTCTGACTGCCCAGGTGTATTCGGGTGGGGTGTATAAGGCTTGGCGTTATCCATGTTCTTACAGAGCAGCCCAAAGCCACATATCCCGTTTTGTTGGGCATTCGAGCCTAATCTATGTTGAATATTGTCAAATGCTTCTGCTCGGGGTCCCCAATTTGAATACACATACCAGCTTAACTTTCGATGCACTTCTGGGCACTCACAACGTGGAAGAACGTCACTAGCGTTTCCGGGGGTCGATGTACTTTGACAACGAGTAACAATATAGAATTATGAACAATCGATAGTAGTTGACCCAACCAGGCGGTAGTGTGGTTTTAATCCAGGACATTGGGTATATCGTATAGCTATAATAAGCCAAGTGAAAACATGTTATAAGATTATAAGGCTCCCAGGTCACTGGAAAGCAAGTCGCATCTGCCCCTTTTCCGGCTTGCCCCGACTCCCTCCACCTCGCCCACCTCTCCCACGAGCAGTTGTCCCGCGTGCACTACTTTTCGTGGGAAGTGTCGGCTGTGAATCCTTCGCCTCCTCTCTGTCCTGGCTTGCGAGGTCCTTGGCAAAGTGCCAATCATCATGTTCTTCCTTTTCATACTCAACCATTGACTTCGAGCACCGTGGGCATACGAACCGGGGAATCCCGCTCAGTTCGGAATCCATTTCGGCCGGTTCTTGAAGGCTGTCTGGCTCATCTGCGGCAGTATCTTCAGCATATGATTGATTTCCAAAGAAACTTATTATCTTGCCCCCGTCCCCGTCGAGCTTTCGTCTTTTCTCAGTTGGGGCTTGTTGTTCACTGGGGGATTATCGGCATATCGGGGTCTTGAAGAATGACTCAAAGCTTTTGCTTGATCACCGCGAATCAAGAAGCCTTCAATAGCCTTGTTGTTGCTCACGCCGTCTTCAAAGCTTGACACGCTCAGCGACAGGTTGGAACAGGGCCATGCATGTCCATCCGCCACAACCTGACGAAGCAAATTATTGGCCAGATCGTAGAGAAGGTTCTCGTCAATTGCGCTAGAGCCTGGGATTGGAATTTGGCGAGAACGAGATTGCGCAGTTCGATAGTGCATCGTAATCACTTTCGGACGACGTCTATTTTCAAGCACGCCGTCTTCCACAAGCCGGCCATATATATCGGCTGCGAAGATACGAAGCCACTTCTCAGCTTGACCAAGAGAGTTGATGCTCGGTCTGAAAGACTTCGCGGAGAGCATGGATTTAATTTGGGTTCGAGGATTCACCTCGCTGCGGTCCTCACCGCGGATGATCCCGTAAAGCCAGGTTGCAGTGTGGTCAGCCAGCTTAGTGCGTAATTGCTCAAGCGGTACATTAAGAAGCTCGCTGACTTTCTCCGTCCCAAAGGCGGCAGTTATGTGATCGCCGAGTTTACCACCCAGCATTCTGATCTGAGTAAATTTATATCCATTTAGGAAATTCTGCACCGCTCGATTCCGTACAACGGTTTGTAGGTTGGGCTTGTTGCAGGCACTTCCTAGTTTTGCGATCATTTTATTGCGCCCAAGCCCAGCCGAACAGGTGTAGCTGAGCTTCTCCCAAACTGTGTCCCGCACTGATCGTACGATTTCAGACCCTATCAACATGACAACGTCATCCCAGTCTGGATCGTCTTCCTCCGTTTCGTGCTGGTCCAGGTCCACCAAGCAGTCGGTATCCCACTGCAAGGCCGTAGTCGGCGGTATAGGCAGTTCTGCATCCCGGTTCTCGTCTTGTGTTGCAATCCGAAGTTCCGGGTACCTCTGAAGAAGCGCCCTATATATCAATGGAGATAAATCAATGAATACTTCATCAATACTAGCTTTTTCCAACACAGCCGAGAGACCTTGTTTTGTATTCTGGATTTCGACATCCGTGTCATCAGCACTCCATGTGGCCAGCGCCTCCTTCATCGTCTGGAGGATCTTTCGCGATTGTGCCCGGTACGGATCTAGCGACACCTTGTCCGTGCTGATGTTTCTAAATGAATCATCCCGATATGCCCACCGCCCTCCCTCTCCCTCTCGAAAAGTCGCGACATGCTGTAAGACGAGGTCTGGACAAAGTTTCCTGGCCTCCGCAACATTGATCAATCGACTGATTCCGAAGGGTCGGGCTGCATAATTGATGGCAATTAAAGAATCCCATTGTCGCACTGCTAACGGTATATCCCGTGGAGTCCCCAGGCGGACCATCTCACATTGCGCATAGAAGGCATCCAGGTCGATATGCGCAACCACACGCAGAGGGGTTGCTGTGGAACCCTGTAGCAACCCTTGCAATTGTCGATAGGTAAATCGGGAGACCTTCAAGGGATCGGACGACTCGGTGGGTTCGGACATGCTTGCACCTGCGTCATGACGGTGAACACCATTATTGAGGTTGTCGGTCAGAGCTTGGAATCTGATGCTTTCAACCTTGGGACAATATCCTAAAATGGACTAGCGCCGGCACGTGGTAAACTACAACCCGACATCGGGAGTCTTCGATTCAACCTTGGGATTTCCATTTACCACCTTACAAAGTAAATAGTTATCGAGAGTTATTTCAAGGTTCTTCTACAATGGACTAGTCAAAATCTAAAAACAGCTACAATCTACTTTTCTATATTCCCCAGTGTTATAGACCAGGAATGCCCAAATGACCCATGACTTAGTGCCTGCTTATTTTTCTTCAACCTACCCCTGCACAGTCAGATGTCGTGTTCTCGTGCAGGATTTTCCGATGTTGTAACTCGTCCACTGCAGAGGTCTCGAACATGAAAAAAAAAAGAAACGAGACAGGATGATCTCCGATCTGTGCGATCCAGCTGACACAGACGGGCTGTGAGTGGACCAGAGGCTCGGAGCCTTCGCGCAGGTGCCCAAAGCCACGCATTCCTGCCCAACGGTCATCTTGTGTGGACATCGGCTGCCAACTTTCCAGGTGGCAAGTTTGCAGCTCGCCACCGGTCTTTTCTGTCAATAGATTGGTCCTCTGCTGTCATGCTCATTTTGCAGATGGTGTGCGAGGGATCAATCACAATGAGTCTTATGATTTGCCCCCCCTCGACACTACCCTCTCCTACCATACATACAACATACGAACATCTGACAGTTCTTGATCTCCTTTACTATCAACAACTCTGCTTGACCGCTGCTGAAGATCCACCGGTGGAGTCCTGTAGAGTTTCGATATTAACCTGGTCCAGGGGCACAGACTGAGGAGCAATCCAAGCTGGTTGAGTATGGGGGATCGGCCCTTACTTTTTTTCCGTCCCAACTAAAATCTAGTGGGAAACAAAGAGCAACCCTTTTAAGGTCTAGTTTTAGGGTACAAGGGACATACCTCTATGTATCCACTCCGTACAGCTATCTACTTTGCCTTAGTTTTGCTTAGTTTTGCTTACATTTTCCAATATTGGGCATGTTATTTGATTAGGAAGGGGAGTATATATCTATATCCATAGTTATATATTGACATATGAATACCTAATAGTACAAAATGAAAACTTTTTTTTTTTCAAGCGGCTACAAGCATAGGGTTGCACATTAGTCTAATCCACATTTGACCATGCATGCTTTTTGCCTTGATCTCAGTGGGGAGTCGTGGCACCAGCCCAAGACGGCCCAACCGCCCTGGCCCTTTGATGTCCACTTTACCTTCCCCCTCTTCCTTCTTCCCTTCTCTCTCTCTCTCTCTTTCTTTTCCTTTTCTCCATATTCTCTCTGGCTTCTCTTGCCAGCACTTCAAACTACTCTTTCTACCCCCTGGCAAATATCTAGTTCGTTCCCGAACAGATTACAGACAGCCCGCAGGACCCCCGCCAGCCAGCCCCGTGTTTCTCTTTCTCCTAATTGATCTTGACAACTCATCCTCTCTTGAACATCTGTCAACCTCTTTGTCGCTATTCAATCACCAGTTTTCTTTTTGAGGCCTTCTCAATTTCCCAGGATAATTGCCCCAGTGGACAACCAGCGAGAATTTCTTCCCAGGATTAACCGGACTTTTTTCCCCCCAAGGACTTTACTATTCGCGACCAGGAACAATTTTCTTCTGGCCACTTCCCAAGGATCGTATCTCGTTTTCTGCTTGCCCTGGAATCAAGGAAACAAACCGTTCAAGTCGTTGATTGTCGGCTTTGGAATCTGCTCGTCGCCTGATAGAATCTGTACATCCTACAATAAAAACGGACTCACCATCATCCTTCCAACTTTCCCCAGGACTCTCTCAAACCATCTACCACACTCCGGACTTTCTCTTGGACTTCCTCTTTTCTGGCCCTTTGGATCCGAGGACTTTAAAATTTTAAACCCCATATTTTCCTCCTTGGAATACATTATGACAGGCCGCTATGAAGGACGCCCGGAGCGTCAGAATGAATATTTCATCCCCGGTGAAGGAATCAGCCGAGAAGTTATTCAAGCAGATATTTGTCGCTACCTTGGAAATGATGCCCTCGTCAGACCTGGCAACCACAATGTTCGTCTTCCACTCTTGACTCGATGACTCAGAAAATGTCGTTTTGACTAACCACGAACAGGGCCGCCCAGGATTCTTCATCCGTGCTTATCGGAATCTCACATCTGTAAGTGACGGTGGACATGCGACAACAAGCGAGATAAGTCAGGATGGCATTCTAACCACACGTCGAATACAGGAGATGATTACTGATCTGAAAGCTGACTCCGCTCGTTGGGAGGCGGACGTCTCACGCCGGGCTGACCTAGGCTACCCGCGTGGGAATTACATTCAAGACACGAATGTTTCCCATGCACCTAACCCGGCTCCAGTGAACTATGCCCCTGCGCCCGTTCATGAGGTTCGCCAGTCACAGGGTCCATCCCCTACGCCCTTTACTGCAGCACCCGCTCAGTCATACATGGATCCCTACTCCCAGGGCTCCTACAGTGGATCTCAGAATGCCCCCTACACAAATCCTCCATCATACACATCTGCCACTCACTCGCCGTATGCATCAGGTACAGCTCCGTACCCTCCAGCCCAGGTTTCCTACTCTGGTTCCAATCAACCCGTCGTGACGGCTGCGGACATGCAACACCCCCAATCGTACACATATGCCCCCACGGGCTATGGTTACGATAATGGCCGAAGCAATGCTCCTCGATACCCGGGACCTGGATATGATGCCGAACAGGAGTACTCTACCGTAACTTCCGGGATGTCCTATCCTGCCACTACTGCCCCGGATCCCCGGATAGGAATGGAGCCCAGATACACTCCAGAGTATGAGCGCAGGCCACAAGCAACCAGAGACAACCCCCACCGTCGGCGGTAGACAATAATGACCGCCCCCAAGGGTTTTCCTACATTCATGGTTTCTCTCTCTCTCTCTCTCTCTCTCTCTCTCTCTCTCTCTCTCCATCCATATTGTGGTCCACTTGATGCTTTATTCCTGGAACAAATCCAAAATGCTCCTTGGAATAATGTTGATGTCTGTGATAATCTCCTGGACAACCTCTACGCCTTCTTTCCTCTCTCGGCCACAATTCTCAGATTCCCAATTTGTCTCCGGTCCAGGAACTCCCGACTAAGCCAGAGATGTTCTATGTTTCACATCCCACTTCAAATGGCCCAGTCAGCGGGACTCTCCACTTCCCATTGGACATGAATACCACTTCTTTTTTACCCTTGGACTTCCACTGGAATGTTCTGTGGCAGGAGCTTGGATTTCCCTTGAACATCCGTCTTTATTTTGATTTCTCTCCCATGCTTTTGTGCAATTGGCCAGCCAGGAGTATGAGTGATGTGCTTGATTGAGTTTACGAAAAGGTGGTCCGGACTTGAGCGTTTTGTTTGTTTTCTCTGATCTCACGGATTCCGGGAATACTCACCCCCACAATAATGCGATTTCTTCGTTGGTTTTTAACGGTGTACAGGATTTATGTGTTCTTAGCAACTTTTTCTTTTTGTTTCATTTTTCCCTTGAAAGGAAGGGAGTCATCGTGTTCTACTTTTTTTTTTTTTTTTTTGGGCTTTGGTTTGCGAGAGCGTTGTGCTTCGATAAACTAAGGCTGGTGGCCTACATGTAGATATGAGCATTTACGGCGTTGGTCCGTCTTTTGTGATTGACGTTTTGATGTGCGAGATCGTGGATTGACTCCATGATCTTAATGAATCTCCTACTCTACATAATTTCTTACCTTGGATGAATCAAGATATCATGTCTAAATTGCTTACTTTCCTTGTCAGACCTGAGGCTAGCTTCGGAGTATAATGCAAATTCTGCAATTGATCAGGTGTTTACAGGTAGTACTGCTAGTGAATATGGCGAGCAGCCTGACTCCATTGTGGGATGAGCATCTCGCAAGAATGCAATTATTCCCAACGTAGCCAATATACTTGAAACATAGAAAAGCGACTTAATGTCGATTATATGATTGCACAAAACATAGTACATACACTGTAGCGCCGGTCTCGACCTTCGGCGTATGCGCAACAAATATTGGTATCAAAGCATTTTGATGGCCAGGAGCAGTTGCCCCAGAAGAAGGTCTTTTCAATTGCCCACACTGATGCGATGAGACTTGTTCACCAGTCCAGTGGCACAGCCAACTCATCTCCTGCCATCCGCTGAATTTATTCCGCCCAGGCTCGGACAATACACGAAATTCTCTCTAACTTCCGATAACTTGACATTTTCGTGGATCGGAACCCGTTTATTCGTCATCGTAGCCCTTAGGAACAACCCGCGGACCCTGCGGAACTGTACGTAGTGAAGATATTGGTCAGATTCAGATTACTTGGATATAGTTTTGATGCTCATGCACCGATTTGTAGGAATTGGATGGGTTCATACTGGGATATGTGAGAGGAATGGGCTCGGGGTCGACGTCACCGAGGGCGCGGCGGATGGGGGAATAGAGGCCAGCGAAACGGGACCCATGAAGCCGATTGCGAGAGCCGCAAGGATAGCTGGCTTCTCGTGCGCAGCCCAGCGAATGTAGCGGAAGGGAGTCGACCAGAACTGAGGGGTAGACATGGCTGTAGGAAGAGGTCGTTGACGACCGGGGTTTTTGCGAAGTAGGTGGGTTGCCAATGCCTGAGTAATAGAATAAAACTGTTCAAGCGCGCACGAATGAACAGATACACTAGTCCCACTTAGTGGTTGTTGAGTGGCAGGAGAACAAGAGAAGCAAAATTGAAGCCGGGACGAGGTGAAGTCGAAGTTCGGAGATGCGGACCCAGCGCTCTTAGGTCTTGGCACTCGCCCATTAAACACGTCGCCCTTTCTAGCTATCTATACAACTTGGATCTTCAACCACCTTCCTTTACTTACTTCTTTTTGATACCTTCCGCTCCGCTGTGCGGAATTTATTCAAAATGAGGTGGTGTCTTGCGTTGCTTATTTGTTGCTTCTTGGCTGTGGTAAATGCGCTGAGTAGCTCCGGCAGTCGTCTGTTGGCCGTTCTGGAAGACACAGAACAGAAGGACCTGTACTCCACGCTGTGGGCAGATCTAGAGGGTAATGTACTCTCTGCCTTCATCCATAGATAACTTGCTAACCTTTTTGGATTTCAGCACGAGGATACGATGTCTCAATCGAATCCCCCAAGAGTGAACAGCTTGCTCTATTCAAGCATGGCGAAAGAGCTTACGACCACCTTCTGATCCTCCCTCCCAAGTCCAAAGGTAGGCAACCCTGGTTTAATTGGTACAATGTCCAGTCAATTGACCCAAGAATACAGGCCTCGGCCCCTCCTTGACCCCCAAACACATCCTCGACTTCATGAACAAGGATGGCAACATCCTCCTCGCCCTTTCTGGCAAGACTGCCACCTCCAGCGCCGTCAGCTCCCTTCTCCTTGAACTCGATATCCACCTCTCCACCGACCGCTCACAAGTTGTCGTCGACCACTTCAACTACGACACCGTCTCGTCCGCCGAGAAGCATGACGTCCTTGTCCTCCAGCGCCCTGGACCCCTCCGTCCTGACGTCAAGGCCTTCTTTGACGGTGAAGGTGTTCTTGCCCTCCCCCGAGTTGCTCCCCAGACTCTTGGTGGCGACAGCGCCCTCCTCTCTCCGATTCTCAAGGCCCCTGCCACTGCCTACAGCTACAACCCCAAGGAGGGCACGCCCGCGGCGGAGGATATCCTGGCTACCGGGTCGCAGCTGAACATCGTGTCCGCTATGCAGGCACGCAACTCTGCCCGCTTCACTGTTCTCGGATCAGTGGAGTCATTGGAGGACAAGTGGTTCTCGGCTTCCGTCAAGACGCCCAGCGGCAAGAAGACTTCTACCGTGAACCGCGAGTTCGCTAAGCAGTTGACTGCTTGGGCTTTCAAGGAGACCGGTGTCCTGAACGTGGACAATGTCGAACATCGTCTTGTCACTGAGGGCGCAGAGTTGAACCCCTCGATCTACCGGATCAAGAACGAGACTGTATGTGAAACAATGATATATTATGATTTTCTTCCCAACTAACCATGAATCTTTATTTGGCTGCAGGTCTACAGCATTGAGGTTTCCGAGTACGTCTACGATAAGTGGGTTCCCTTCGAAGTTCCCGCCGGCGATGCTCTCCAGCTCGAGTTCACCATGCTCTCGCCTTTCCACCGCCTGAACCTCGAACCCACCAGCCGTACCGATACCAGCACTGTGTTCAGCACCCAGTTCGTGACTCCCGATCAGCACGGTATCTTCTCCTTCCGCGTCAACTACAAGCGTCCCTTCTTCACCGCCATCGAGGAGAAGCACGAGGTGACTAACCGTCACTTCGCCCACGACGAGTACCCGCGCAGCTGGGCTATTACCGGTGGCTGGGTATGGATTGCCGGTCTTTGGTCGGTGATTGGAGGATTTTTGGCTTTCGTCGTTGTCTGGCTTTACTCTGCCCCTGTGGCTGATAAGCTTAAGAAGACTCAGTAGATTTATATTTATCTCCGTATGCATTGTGCTGTCTGTCCATGATTTTCAATTTTCTTGCATGATCTTGATCTCCCGAATGAACACATTAGGTCCTAAAGATGACCAATTCTCAATGATATCCATGGATGGTACAAGAGGCCGCTTATGCGGCCTTGCAACGTCCTTTTGGGTAGTCATTTTTTGTAGTCTTCCCAGGTGCTCTTTTTAGATGTCCCCCCTTATTGGCGCTGGAAACGGCTTAAAACGTGCAACCCGACTTTTCCATATATGGCCTTTGATTCTCCCGTACCCATTGGGTCGATTATACCGAGGAGAACCCCAAATAATGGCTCAGCCCGCGAACGCACTTGGATGCCTTGCCCCGGATTCGGTGAACTGAAACTGAAAATGAAGAACGTAGGATTATCCGCATCGATACTGGTTGTTGATTTCCTATGAGGCGAACATAGACATCATTGATTTCTATGGGAATTTCGTTTGGTTTCAGGATGACATGTTTGATCTATAATCGGGGGCCTACAGCTATCCCTCTGCGTGTAGAGTCCGGGCTACATCAACTCCAGTGACTAAAACGGTAGATGTTCGGGGAAACAAGACTATATTAAAGGCAATTGTCTTCGAGTAAAGTCGGGGATAACTGCCGTTGGTCCCAATATCCCCACAGTGGGACATTTCGTCCATCCTTAATTGGTCTAACAATGGGATATTCGCACCTCAATCTGTCCAAAGCAGCAACAGTGCAGCAACAGTGCAGCTCGCTTCTTCGTGTGGCTTTAATGATAGGGGAGAACCAGGAATTAACCTCGATTCTCATACGTTCTCTTCGTTCGAACGGTTACCCTCCTGTATACAACATACACTCAGTAACGCAATTTAACCTCTTGGAAATGAATAAACCCACTTTCGTCTTCTCGCACGGTGGTTGGGTCACTCCCGTCGTTTTCGATGCCGTGCGTGGCCGTCTGGATACCCTCGGTTATCCTTCTGAGTGCCCGGCGCACCCTTCTATCGGCGCTGAGCCTCCTTCCCTGACACTGGAAGACGATGTTGCCTCCCTGCGTAGGGTATTGACGACTCTGGCAGACGAGGGAAAGGACATTGTTATTGTGGCACACTCCTACGGGGGTGTCGTAGCCTCCACGGCTAGCGAGGGGCTGGTGAAGCACTTTCGCGCGGAGAACGGGAAGCTTGGAGGCATTGTGAAGGTGGTCTATCTAGCTGCCTTTGCGCTGGACAAAGGACAAAGCTTGCTGGGAGTGCTGGGGGAGTCTATTTGCCATGGATGAAGGTCGAGGTTGGTCCATCCAGCATCATATGATTGGTAACATTAAGATCTAGCTGACCGAAAAAAAAAGGGCGACTACATCCATGCAGACGGCGTCGGCAACGTTGGCTGGCAGGACTTGACCTTGGAGGAGCAAGAGAAATGGAATCAGATCACAATGCACACCTCACGTGCGGTCTTCTCGGGTGAAACCACTTATGAGCCGTGGCGCGATATCCCCTGCTCCTATATCATCTGCGAGCAGGATCAGGCCCTGCTGCCAACTTTCCAGGAGTTCTTTGCCTCGAAAATGGGCGGGCCGGACACTACCCACCGCCTGCCGAGCGCGCATTCGCCGTTCTTGAGTATGCCCGATCGCCTGGTGGGTGTTCTGGAAGAGATAGTGAAGGTGTAATATGTATAATCAGATTGGGGTATGAAGAATTTCAGTCGATTTTGAGAGAGAGAGGTGAGTATCAAAGAAATATATATGTCTTAAGCGTAACCGAACTCCGGGCCATGCCAGCATGTAAACAGCGAATCCAAATACCCTTTTTACAGGCCCCGGGTCTTCTCTGGATCCATCTGTACTTCGTTTCCGCTGATTTCCTTGACCGACTGGTATGCGGGTTGTCCAGCATATAGCTGTCCCCCAGACGAGTCACTGGGTTTCCCGCCATCCATCTCCTTGGATACCGAGATGGGCTGATTGCCGCGGAAGCGCTTGCGCATATCGATCATACCACGCCTGTGCCGAAAGAAATTCCAATAATTAGTGAGGATGTCCCTTTTTGCCCATAATGGTCGACCTAGACTTCAAGCTCGGTTCCCGACTCACTTGCACTCGCTGAATCCTTTCCGCAGCTGCTGACATTTCGTGGGTAACTCCTCGGCGAGGGGAGAGCTGAGACATTCACGGGGCGAATGACGTTGTACCATGATGCAGTCCGACTCCTGGAGGCATTGAGCCAGAGCCTCCCCTAAACAAGCCATTTGTGGTCAGTTTTGCGTTATAGCCATGGAGGGTTGCGGTAGAAGGTCCAGCTGGATCAGGAACCTGACCCTCCCTTAAACGATTGTGCGACTCGGGGGTGTAACGTACGGATATCATTGCATGAACTGGGCATGTTGACGCGACCTTGTGGACGAATGCACAACTACCCACAAGCAGCAAGAGAGCAGAAGAGCGAGGCCGTGGGACCACGGCAAATTCAGGCTGTCAGTAATCTCGACGCTGATTGGTGGTTGCGGAGAATCCCCGGATGAGATAAGCATCACTTTCACATGTTGGTGATGACGTCGAGGGACTTTCATCGGCTTGTCTTTGCTTTTTAAATCTTTGCAGCAGCTCTGTATCTTGCATAAATCTTCAATTGAACCTGCACATATGCATAGTAATTGTCGTTCATTATGGCGCGAGTTCCATTCATCGGAAGACTGTTCTGGTAAGGAGCTCCAAGCTTCAGATAAACAACATAGCAACTGACCTTCATGTCTCTAGGTATGAGTACTTAGCTCTCTTCGGGTCTTTAATTCTTGTTCTACTTGAGACAATCATTCACTTGATTACTTGGTGCCTTCGTCAGTGAAAATCACCGAGCAATGGATAATGCCAATGCTAACCCCCTAACCAGCAAGCCCTATCATCAAGTTTTGTTATGGCCAATCCAAGGCACTTTTCAATTTCTTAATACCTAATGAATCCCGTCCCAAGCGCACAAAGGAGGAGATATTTGCCGGCTCTGTTGCAGACGCGTCCGATTTCACCGAGATATGTGCCCTATTCGGGTATCAAGCCGAGGAGCACATTGTACAAACGAGCGATGGTTACCTTCTTGGACTTCACCGGCTTGCATATCGAAAAGGAGAAGAAAATACGAACGTGAATCATGGTCCCAGTGGGCTTCGGAAAAAGGTCGTCTACCTCCACCATGGCCTGCTCATGTCAAGTGAGGTGTGGGTAGCCTTGACAGACGAGCAGCGGTGCCTGCCCTTCCAGCTGGTGGAAAAGGGATACGATGTATGGCTGGGAAATAACCGTGGGAATAAATACTCCAAGAAGTCGATCCGATTCTCGCCTGGTTCCAATGAATTTTGGGATTTCTCTATCGATCAGTTCGCTTTCTCCGATATCCCCAACAGCATCGAGTACATCCTCGAGGTAACAGACCAGCCGTCATTGTCTTACATTGGATTCTCCCAGGGGACCGCGCAGGCATTCGCTACACTCGCTATTCATCCATTGCTCAACCAGAAGATAGATGTGTTTGTCGCACTTGCACCGGCCATGGCTCCTTCGGGTCTTCGCAATCGCATTGTTGATTCACTGATGAAGGCCTCCCCGGACTTTTTGTTCCTATTGTTTGGTCGACGCAGCATTCTCTCATCGACAACCATGTGGCAAACAATACTCTATCCGCCAATCTTCGTACGCATTATCGACACAGCCCTCCAAGCCCTCTTCAACTGGAAGTGTCGCAACATCAAACAAACACAAAAGCTTGCTGCCTATTTTCATCTCTATTCCTTCACCAGCACCAAGTCTGTCGTGCATTGGTTCCAAATTATCCGGAATAAGAACTTCCAGTTCTACGATGATGAAGTCTATGCCCCTTTCAGCATAGCTGCCAGTGAGCGCTTTTACAAGCCGGTCAAATACCCTACTCGCAACATCAAGACTCCCATTGTCCTCCTGTATGGCGACAGTGACAGTCTCGTTGATATCGGAGTGATGCTGAAAGGGTTGCCACATGACACCGTCGCCCAGGCGATTCCAACCTACGAGCATCTAGACTTTTTGTGGGCCTCCGACGTTGACCGCCAAGTCTTCGGTTATGTGTTTAATGCGCTGGAGACTCATAGCCGGGGTGACCCGTTGGCTGCCAGCGGTACAGGGTCTGAGAAACACAGATTTTTAACCGACGGTCGTGTTTCCAATACATCGGCTGCCCGAAAAACCCACGTCTTCCCCAATGGTGTCGCTTACGGGGCCACGCCCTGAATGTTATTATGTGTCTTTTTACTCTGTACATGTACAACATACACCATAGTTATACAAATTTTCCTGTGGATAATTTGAGCGGGGTTATGGCTTGGTGGGTACATCCATCCAAGGGTGTATTGAGGGGATTATCGGGTACATATATTTTTATAGTATCGATTCATGAAAAGATGTGTCCAGTGTGTGCTCCGTACGGATTGCCACCTATCACGGCTTGGCACGATGGATGCCATGGATGCCGGCAGAGTTTTCTAGGAACCCGTTGTAGAAGTAAATCCACCGAAGTGGCGTCAAGAGGGGGAAAGTCCCAGAGAGGTCTGTGTCTGATTTATGGATGTACCTACAACAGGTACTTCTGTCACTTCTTGGCATTCCCTTCCCGTTTAGTGCTCAGACATTGCCGCTTTTTGCTCACTGAGTAGAACTGAGCACGCCCACTTAGTATTATGTAATCAACAGACTCCCCAAGGTCGCTCACTGAGCCCTCACTTGGGCATCACTTGATCGTTACATAAGCTGGATGACTGAGCGTCACCTGAGCGCTCTGATTTGCTCACTAAGCTTAGCTAACCAGCGGGAAGATAACCTTGGAAGGCGGCCGTACCTGCCAGAGTGTAGGACCCTACGTCACTTCCCTTTGAATTCGGGCTTCAAGCCCAACCTCCGAATCGCCTCCTCCGTTCCACTCAAATCCGAAATTCCACATGGTGTTGTGCAGACGGTATGGCAAGCGGAGCAGTGTTTCTCAGAGTGGCTGGAGTTAGGGATCGAAGTCCACCACGACCTCCCGGTATCGTGGTCCCATTCACTGAGTTTAATTACAGAGAATATTTACCGTCTTTATGGACCCACTGCTGGTTCGATCCGGGAAGAAGTTTGTGGCGCGCCCATCGTGGTAGATGACAACGAAGATGGAGGTATCATTGGGTTCTTTCAGCTCGGGGCAGAAGGCTCCGCCTGGGCCTTGTCACCCTGTCTGGATGATTTGATCGACAGAGGATGGACGGTGATTTGAAATGTTTCTTGTTCTCGTTGATATTCTTATTCTGTCCCAGGTTGCTTCTTTATTACTGATGTGCCCCTGAGCCTTGTCACCCTGTCTGGATGATTTGATCGACAGGGGATGGACGGTGATTTGAAATGTTTCTTGTCCTCGTTGATATTCTTATTCTGTCCCAGATTGCTCTTTATTACTAATGTGCGCCTATAGCTTTTGGTGCGAAATTCATTCGCTACTTTACCTTAAATTGCTACTGACTTTATATATGAAAAAGCTTGAAATGAAGAAAGTTGCTTTTTTTGAACAACATATAACTTACCTGTCCCATCAAAAAGTGATGGCTGAATAATCATTGTTGTGAGGTACCTAGGTAAAGTGCTCCTTTGATTGAGCCTGGACTGAAATCTACCTAGGTACTCCATGAGCCTAACTCTAGGCGCCCTCATAAAAGCGGCGGCAGTTAAGACAGGAAAGCCCCACCTGGCAGAGGAAATATGTTACGTACAACATATACGAAGTACAGAGTGGCTACCTCCGTACAACTCCGTAGAGTACCTGACTAGAGAAGCATAATTAATCAAACAATGTTGTATGTGACCCAAATCTCGTATCCACCACAGTCTAGACATGCTGGGCACCAATACAATATATGGCACTAGGGCAAAAGTGATAGTCTATCCTCCTTCCTAACTTTATTGTAACCTAACAGATAAGCTTTGATTAAATTGAATCAAGTCGATCTTGGGGCTGGAGAACTCGAGGGGATCTTTTATATTGATCTTATATTGTAGAAAAGGCACAAAAATGATATTCAGGACATGGTGCGGGATGTCAAACAGGTGGCGTAATTCCATAAGCCCAATAAAAAAATAAAAAATAAAAAATAAAAAGGAACAATTGAAACCTTTTTGGCCAAGTTCTCTGTGGATTATGATTCGATCTAGACCGGGCGACTATCTCCACAATAGAAACTAGCGTTGGCGAACAAGTCACAATAGCGAAGAATTGAAAAAAACCGAAATTAAAAATAAAAAGAAACAAAAAGAAAAACTTAAATGCATGGTTCAGGGACAATGCCACCCATGGAAGCCCATTTGCAAGTTCCATTCGGTTGGTCGGACCAGATCTCTGTTCCTGACCCTAAGGGGTAGTCACCAATGGGATTATTAGGATTGACCCCGTCTATCAGGCACCGACCACATGGATACGCATGGTCAACCCAATTTTATGGTTCAATGGGTTCGACGGCCTATCAAACGCCTGCCACACCAAAATCTGACATGCCCAATGCCCTCTGCCTACGAACTCCACTCCAATGATTAAAATGGCGCTGTACCCTCCTCTCCTCCTTCTCCTCTTTCTTTCTCTCCTTTGATATCACGATCTTTCGAATCACACTCCTTTAGATTCATAC